ATTCTCCCTAGCTACGGAAAGGGAGCCAGGAAGTTCGACCCAAAGGCCGCCCTGCCAGGCCCTGAGAACTCGGGCAGCAAAACTAGAAGAATGAAGCTTCGTTTGGTGCCGTTCCCTTTTTTCCGGATCCGCGCGCATGTCTGGCTGGGGCTAGTGAATCAGCTTCTTGCAATCAGCTCCCTTCTCCAGCTGTCTTGACCACTGCTCCCTGCACAACTGACGTGAACGGACTGCACGGTCCATCCGACCCTCATTACAACAGACTGAAAGGAATGCGCTGGGCTTTGCCTCTGCCTGCGCCGAGGCAGCCTGGAGCTGCAGGTAAACTCTCAGTGTCTGAGCGGCGGTTTCCTCCCCACGTACGTGCTCCGAGCCCCCTCGGGAAAAGAGGGACAGGTGTGCAAGCCTCCGGGTCGGGGAGGACACGAAGACGGCAAGGGACAAGCCAAGGAGGATCGCCGAGTCCGGGGACTTTGAAAAGTATCTGCATGGCTGACCTGCGAAACCAAGAATGAACCCTGCTAGCCTCAGGGGCCCAAGGTAACACCCACTTTCCAGCTGAAACACAGCTTGCCCCCAGCCCTGAGCAGGCGTCAGAGGGAGACCCGCCGGGACCTGAGTGCACCCGCCACGCCTCCCTGTCACCTTCCTCCCGTTACTGGGTTTGCAGCTTTGTTTTCCTGACGCTGTTTCCTACCCCCTGCACAGCCGTCTGAAATCATTCCCCAGCCTCACCGCGTTCCTTACACGCATTTGTCCTTTTACTCCAAGGAAATGGAAACCATGCAAGACAAAGACCTTCGGTCCCAGGCAAGATGCTATTTTCCTTTCCTTCCAGTTGCTGTATTTGAAGCAAAAAAACAAGTTGCCTCTCTGTTTAGATCAATTCATTATAATGAGCCCACGATGCTTCAAAAAATGGAGTGTTTGGGGTGATTTGACAATTCATTGCCCGGAAACCCAAGGAGAGAACTCACTAAATCAGTCAGCAAAGTGGCCCTGCGGTTATGTGGTCTGTGAGGGAAACAGAGCTTTGGCTCTGTAATTACTTTCTGGAGGGAGAAAAGGTGGGATGGAGTGTTCCCTGATTCCTCTGCAAAGAAGCAGAGGGACCCGACGATGAAGGACCTTCGGACGGCCTTAGAGGCCTCCTCCTAATACTTATCCTTTCGCCTAAAAATACCGACTCAGGTTTTTCTTCCCACAGCCCGACCCCTCTCCACCCCACCCCGTACCCTCCATCCGCTCTGTCCCTGTGCAGGCCGTGGGGGCACAGGGCAGCGCCGACCTCACCAACAACATCTAAAGCATCCTCAGAGCTTCCTGACCCAACTGTTAGCCATTTAAAAAAAAAGAAAAAAAAGTCACACAGTTCCTCCCTCAGAATGATTCTCATCTCTAAGACACTGATGAAGCAACTCAGGGTGAGAGGAAGGAGCAGGTTTGAATGTGAAACGTTCTGTGGAACTGAACGTCAAAAGAGAGCCAGTCTCCTGAGGCAGAACCCCTGCTCTTGGACAACATCAACAGCCCCTCATAGAACAAACAGCCCCAGGGAAGTACTGCGAAAGCAGCTCAAGAAATATTAGATTCAGGGGATGCCTGCCATGTGGCTCAGTGGCTGGGCATCGACCTCTGCACCAAGAGGTTGCGGGTTCAATTCCAGGCCGGGACACATGCCCAGGTTGTGGGCCAGATCCCCAGTGGGGGGCGTGCAGGAGGCGGCTGATTGATGTTTCTATCTCAACAATATTTCTATCTCACTGAAGTTTCTATCTCTCTCTCCCTCTCCCTTCCTCGCTCTCTAAAAACCAACCAAAAGATAAATAAAAGATAAAAATGAAATGAAATCAGTGGATGCCTGAGCTTGAGCCTCAGCCTAGGCAGGTGAAAAGGAGAAGGTGAGGCAGGGATCCTGGTGGGAAAAAGGGTTTCAATGGGGGGAGGGGACACCCAGTGTTTCTCCAGGTGTGGCTCTCCACGTCCAGACCATGGGGTACCTACCTCTGCCTGTCTCTTCCTCCTCCCTGCTCAGCAGAGAGCTGAGTTTCCCCTCAGACACTGACTTCTCCCATGGAAGCAGCAGGGCAGCACCTAATCGCTTCTAGAAAAGTCTAAATCTGCTCCTCCCTGAAGGCAGCAGAGAGGCAAGGTAAGCCCGCGAGTGTGTGCACGCGGACAGGCGGAGCGCTAGCCGGCCTGGGAACCCCGGAGGAGGCAGCCAGTCCATCTTCGGGCTCCCCACTCAGCCCCTGCCGACCCAGCCACCACCTTCGGAGAATCACACCAGAAAAGGCTCCTTGCCTTTTCAGAAAGGAAATGTCTGCTGAACTATTTCAAGGCACATGGAAGCGAGTACACGTCCCACTTTCTCCACCACCCTCCGAAGAGTACACGTTCTTTCCTATCCCCCATGCTCCCTCGGGAAATCTCACTATGGTGTAAATGTTTACCTCAGTCTCCACCACACTCTCCTTTTCCCTCCCCCAAGTCCCCACCAAGACATTCTGCGCATGAAACTCCCTGAACTCGGGAGCGGTGACCTCCGAGGTGTGAGCCGGGTGAGCCGAGCCGTGGGAACGTGCACACCCATGAGTCAGTGAGCAGCGCCCTGAAATGTGCACACTCACCCTGGCACGCCGGGGAAGGGGTGGAGAGGAGATGCTGCTGTGTCTGAGTTACCCACATTTGAAACATAACTTTCCCCCACCTGCCCAAGGTCACCCGTAGAGTGTCCGAGAGGGACCTCCCGTGCTCTGTCTCCCTTCCCCGCCAAACGCAGAGACAGGCATTGTCCTCCACCTAACAAGCACCAACATGGTTTCCAAAGCACTGAGCAGGCCAGACTGCAGCTGCTGGAAGAGGTGCTGTGAACTGAATAAAATCAGGAGTTGAATTTGAGGAAGAAACATCCCATATTTACATAATGGGCTGAGAGCTGAAATCCATCTCCTTTCCCATGGTTACCTCTCTTCCCCGACCCCAGAGAGAAACTGCCCCCAGAGGCATCACCACCGAGCCACACACCACACGCCCTCGCGTTGGGAGGGGAAGACATCCGTGTAATAGGGAGAGGAGAAAACACCAACAGGGACAGGGGCCACAAGCCAGTAGAACACAGGCCAATGCCAGATCCAAACACCATCGGTATTCTTCCAGGTGATGAGGAATAAACTCAGTAGGAGGTGGCAAGGTCAGGGCAAGGGGCAACTCTCTCTAAGAGAACAATGGTTCGGGGGAGAGAGAAACCCAAAGAAGGTTTGTGGAATCAACCCGAAGGCCACAGTCAGAGTGGGAGGTGTGATAAGAAGCCAGGACCACGGGAAGAGGTGAAAGGGGACAACCCTCCTCCGGGGCTGGAAGCAGAGACAGAGCAATGATAAGGCCCGAGTGCATCTGCTTCAGGTAGGTGCTTGCCCAGAGGCATTTCCTTCTGTGCTTTCCAAGGGGAGCACATAGAATTCTCCATCAGAAAAGACCCAAAGGAGGGAGGTCTTGTCCTTGTTTTGCTGTCCATCCACCTGTCTTTGGCATCTGAGAACCCGCACCGACCACAGATCATTTGTCACAATTCCTCCCTCAGTTCCTGGGGCTGGTCCAGACATGGGCTCACTGCCTGAGACATGGGATGGGAGTGGAACGCAGGGCAGCGGCACTCACAGTGACCAGTGAGGGTCATGAACGGGACTCCTGGAGGCACCCTCATTCCAACACCCAAGTTTGTCAGCACTGAAGTCCCCACAGTTTGAGGATTTGACTCAAAGAAATCTGCCAAGGAGTATCCTCTCTTCTCAACGCCCACAATGTCAAGGGAAAAGAAATTACGTCCAGAAATTTCTATCTGCCTCTCTCTCTTCATCAAGGTACAGGTGATTAATGTCCACAGCAGCGAGGGAAGAAGGTTTTCAGGACAAAGGGAAAACAAGCAGAGTGCAGAGATGAGCTACAGGGCTATGGCTCGGGGTGGGGGCCTGCCGGGTGAGCTGGGAAGCAGGACCGCTCTGAGGGGTGGCCCTGGCCACTGGGGCCATGTACACATCAGGTGCCAGAAACAGAGGCAACTTCCTAGGGAAGGGTTTGTTCCCTGAAAGGACTCTGTTGAGCCATGTCCAGCCATTCATCATCACGAGAGGACTGGAAGCAAAACGAAGTTTATATCCCCTGGGTGCTTTGTTCCCGGAGTTGTAAAAAGAGGCCGCCTTCCTGTTCTCTGGGCTCTGACTCCCCAAGGGGCTCCCTGGGAGCTAGAGACGTAGGGTGGGAGGCAGTCAGGGCGAACCATGGACTACCCACCATATTTTGAGCTCTTGGCATAAGTTTTAGTAGGAGGCATCCCCCCTCGCCTCCTAACTGTAAGCAGTGCAAGATGCCCAGCGGGTTTAGCACAGCAAGAGGGGTTAACTGGGAAAGTTCTGCCTACAGGGTTTAAAAGAACAAGTCCTCCAGGCTCAGCACGCGAGGTAAGCAGCCCACTAGAAAGGATGGGCTAAGGAGACACCGTCTGCCCTGGTCCACGTGGAATGGATACATCTTTATTCCTTCTTCCCCCAGGAGGCATCCTTTGTATGTCACCCCCATCTCTAACACCATCCAGGGTACACTCAGACACTTGGTACTCTTTCCCGGAAGGTTTCAACATGGGTCAATTTCCTTTATTGAGGGTGATGCTACAGTCTGACTCAGAAAACCGAATGTATTGTAAGAGCCTACACCTAAGTGCCCACATGCCATAAAAAACTAAAGCCTGGACTCCCATCCACAATTACAGAATTTGTAAAATTCTTATACTCAAACTTCACAGACTCCACCAGCCCTTCCATGACTCTGTAAATCCCCCTACCACCCCCAGCACAGGAGGTAGATTTATTGCATGTCGAAGAAGCAAGGGTGGAATTGACTTCAGAGTCAGGAGACCTGGGGATACTAAGAGGACAAGGGAAGCATGCTAAGAGGGGTGAGGCGAGGAACCTGGGGGCGGGCACCGGGCAGGCAGCACTCACCTGTGGATGTTCATCTCCCGCGGAGGGCGGTGGGCCTTGTCGTAGGAGACCTTGGCGAAGACGCCGGCCACGATGACGAAGGCGATCACCCCGCAGGTGATGTAGACGGTGAAGTTGGTCTTGTCCTTCGCCGGGTCGTACTTGTTCTCTGGCCCCGGGGACACCACCTTGGTGCTGGGCGTCTGGACCCACACCGGGCTCTGGTAGTTGTTGCACTGGCGCTGGTCCAGCTTCTCATGGCGCTTCTTGCAGCAGAAGCGGTAGTAGCAGGTGCCGCAGCAGTACAGGTAGCCGCTCTCGCTGTTGTTACACTCAAACTCCTTGTCGTACTGGCCGCTCACGTCGTAGTAACCCCAGCACGTCTCGTAGGTGACGGCCGCGCTGGCCGCCGCCGCCGCCGCCGCCACCGCCGCCGCGGGCTGTCCCCGCCGGCTCCCCGCCTCCGGGACGCCGGACGCCCGGGCGGTGCCGTTCAGCTCGCGGCCGCCCCGGGCCAGGGCGCCCCCCGGCCGCCGGCCCCCGACGGCAGCCGCGCCGGCGCTCAGGGTCCGGTTGGCGGCGCGGCCGCGGGCGCCCTGGGCGCCGGGCAGCAGGTCCAGGAACTCCAGCGAGAGCAGCAGCAGCAGCAGCAGGAGGCGCCGCAGCGCCATGGCGGGGCCGGGCGGGAGGGCGCGGGGAAGCTTCCGCGGCAGGCCGCTCCCCCGGCCGGCGGGCTCCGAGGGCGGCCGCGCGGGCCGGGCTGGCGGCGCGGGGCGATCAGTGGAGCCGGGGCGATGGCGCCATCGAGGCGCGAGCGGCGGCAGCGGCGACGGGGGCGCGCCGTGCGCACAGACCGGCCCGGCGCGGGCTGCTCTGCTCTCACGCTGCGCGCCGGCTCCGCGCTCCCCCTGCGGGCTCGGCGCGCCTCCCGGGCAGCCCCATCCCCCGCCGGCGGCGGCAGCGGCCCCGCGCGCGGCTCGGCTCAGGCAGGACCCGAAGCGCAGCTCCGGGAGGCAGCGGTGGCGTGGTCCCGTCCGGGCGGGTCCTGCGGGACAAGACAGGGCGCCGGTCACGGGGTGGAGCGACCGGTGCTCCGGGAGGCGGGAGGCGAGCGGCGGGCGGGGAGGGAGCGCGCAGCCCTCGAGGAGTGAGGCTCGGGGCCGGGAGGGGCTCAGAGCCCGCTCCCGAGACGGGGCCCGGCGCGCCGGCCACCGAGGGCGCACGAGCCGCCTCTCCGGGCGTCACACCGCCACGGGAGCCCCGGACCGCCCGCCCCGCAGCGCGCTCCCGCCGCAGGCGGGCTCCCTGGGACGGAACCGGCTGCGGCTGGGGTCAGGCGGCAGGTTCGGGGAGCGCGGCGGCTGGACCTCACTCACTCACCATGCCCGGCTGCGGCTGCAGAAGCGGCGGCGGCGGCGACCAGGCGGGAGCGCAGCGGCAGTAGCGAGCGAGTCGGGAGCCTCCGGCTCGCCGCCTGCACTGGTGCCGGAGCGTGTGCGAGAGGGGCGAAGACACACGCACTCACACTCCCGCACACACGGGAGCGCCGCGAGGGGGGGGGGGCAGACGCTCACCGCCGCCCACGTTTACATGCCCTGACACCCGGTGGGAGGGGGGGTCCTCTTTGCTTCCTCCCCCTCGCGGCACTTGAAGCTCCGCGTCACCAAAACCCAGGACACCCGTTAATCAACAAGGCGAACCGGGCGGGCAAGGAGGGGGCCAGGAGTAGGGCGGGAGTGTCCCCTCTGTAGCTGGTCGACGGAAGACCAAACCTTCCCTGCCTTTGCCCGGTCCAGCCCTGGCAGCGGGTCCCACCCTGCCAGAGGCCAGGGCTGTGCAGTGCCAGAGCGAGAGTTGGGGTTTCTGCAAGCCTTTGCCTCTCCCTAGTGGCGACGCTGGCTGCGGAGAGATGAGGTCAAACCCATTGCTACAGGTTCCTAAACTGAGACCAAGGGTCAAGCGGCTTGTATGCGGTTATTGGGCTACCAGTGAGCAGAGACTACATTCTCTTCCCCTTGGGCACCCTGCTCCCCGCCCTGCCTCCAACATGCACACAGGCACACGGCAGCCCGAGCGCTGGGTGACTCCTCTCATGCCCTCTTTCCAGGAGTTTTTCCAGAGCATAGGGGCAGATCGACCGGTGTCTGAGCTGTCTGAGCCTCTAAGACTCAGCTTTGAAACCCCTTTGCTGTAGCTGACGGCGGGGGGAGCGTGCAGAGGGTGGTGTTCCCGCATGGCTGCTGATCTGGTCTGTGGAAGGAGACCCAGATCTAAATCTCAAAGCCATGAGGCCACCCGAAGAGAGTCACAGCATCGTCTTTGGCATGTGTCATGGAGGAGGTGCGGAAAATGAACAGAAAGCAGTGGCCACTGCCAGGATCCCCCTGCCTGCCCTGGCTTGTGTGCCCGGACCCAGAGGGCTTAGGTTGAAGGCAGAGAGCAGGTTGTGAAAGTGTGGGGTCGAGAGTGGCCCCAAAGCTGTCCCTGCAGTTCCATTCATGCATGACCCAAACCAAGGATCCCCCAGGAGAGAACGACAGCCTCTTCCTGGAACTGCAGAATGGACAGATCAGCACTGAATGAAGATTCCAAGGCACGAGAAGAAGACACTGATCCTAGAATGTGAGGTGCATGAACACCCCACTTACTGCTATCTCTCCATCCTTTCCTCTTCCTCTGTACTTCCTCCCATCCCCTCAACTTTCCCTCTTCTTAATGATTCTGTTGTAGGACTAGTTATTCAGTGCCTACTCTCCACAAGGCATGTGGTAAGTGCTGAGGTAAAAGTTGAATGCGACAGTCTCTTTCTCCAAGGAGGGGATCGATAAACAAATGATCACCATATCATGGTTATTTCCCATGATAAAAGTGGGCATGGAGATCTCTGAGAAAACAGATAACAGATACCCACACGCTCATAACAGATAACAGAGGGGAAAGTGGGGGTCACAGGCAGCTTTCTGGATGTGGTGATGAGCAGAATCTTGAGAAATGTCTAAGAGTTAACACAGCAAACGAATGGAAGGACACACGCAGCAGAGGGGAACATCATCAGCAAAATCCGGAAGACATGAAGGAAGGAGGCTGTGAGCAGGGGGGAGAGCAGATTAGCATAACCTCAGAGGGAGTCTTCCGAATAACGCTGGCAGCAGGGAACTGATCTCCTGCCAAGGAACTTGAATTCATTCCACAGGAATTATTGGTGGGCTTTACTCAAGGGGAAGACGCTGTCAGATTTCGCTGGATCTCTAAGTCAACAGGAAACCCTGGATGGGAGAAGAGCAACAGAGCTGCCCTGACCTCCTGGTAAAAGCCTCTGACAGGATGAAGTCAACTACTGGTAGTTGGTGCCCATCGTGCAGATGACAAGCATAATCAGAAGAGCAGATTCAGTGCTGGCAGGTGTGGCTCAGGTGCTTGGACCTCCTCCTGGGCACTGACACACTAACAGGTCAAAGGTTCAATGCCTGGCTGGTGCAGGGGAGCCGGTTGCTGGCTTGATTTCTGCTAGGGGGCGTGCAGGAGGTAGCCAATCGATGTATCACCCTGGCATCACTGTTTCTGTCTCTCCCTCTCTCTTCAAAAATCAATAAAAATATTTTTTAAAGAGAGAGAGCGGGTTCAGAAGAGCAGTACTGATGGGCATGCTGAAGTGCCTTTAAGAGCTCTCAGTGAATCTGTCCAGCACAAGGGTTTCGAGCTCAAGAGAGCAGATAAGAGCATATGCATTTGGGAGTCATGACATTTTCTTCACTCGCATATTACCTGCAGGTTTCAAGTCAGTCCCTCTGTCCTCTTCCCAGAGCGTTGACCTTCTCTTCGTGATTCCAGAAGTGCCCATTCTGTACCTGGGAGCTTCCTCGCAGTGGGCAGGTATGTGTCTTCCTCGTGTGGGACTCTGTCAAGACTTGATCAGTGGCACTGAGTAAGGGGAATCGCTTTGGTTCCTCAGACCACCGCCACCCACAAATATATTGTGAACCCGTGCTCATAAATGGTAGCGTCAACAGACTCACAGAAGATAAGAGTATCATCGAGTCGGATAGGATCTTAGGGGTTATTTATTCCAAACCTTACTGCAGTACATTATGCTTCTTTTTTCAATTACAGTTCACATTCAATATTATATCAGTTTCAGGTATACAGCAGAGTGGTTAAACATTTATATAATTTATGAGGTGATCCCCCAATAAGTCTAGTACCCACCGGGCACCCTACATCGTTATTAAAATATTATTGACTCTATTCCCTATGTTGTACTGTCCCGTGTCAATTTGTACTTCTTAATCCCTTTCCTGACACTCCCAGCCCTCCTGGGTTGTCCCTTGCAGTAGTCCAGGTTGGTTGCATACCAACCTTCATTGCCTACTTTCTCCTTCAAAATTCGATGCCTGAATTGTTGACAGTATGAAAATGTCCTTCCTTTGTGGTTTAGACTCATTCAAAAGTTCCAGAAAAGAATCACCTTTTTCGACACCCGCACAAACTTCAGACAGCTCTTCAGCTCAGGGGAGGGGGACCTCATCCATGGCTCTAGAAGACAGAGCCCCCCTGGACTGAGCCAGCCACAGTGGTCTCGTTCCTCTTGCCAGAGATTTGTTAAGAATGGGCATGTGATCCAGTTCTGGCCAATGCAAAGTGAGGGAACTGTTGAGAGATTCTGGGAGATTTCCTTTGCCCTTAAAATAAGTGGTATTTCCTCTACTTTTGCAAGTGTTGTTTCTCTGGATGTTATGACCTTGAGGCAGAGGGGTGGTGGTGACAAAAACCAGTGGTTAATTGAAACTGATGTTCAGTATGATAGTCATTCGTGCTACTCACTGAATGTCTGTATCTCCCAGACATATAGTAGAATTGCGATTCTGGGTTCATTTGTGAGTAAAAGGGGAAAGTGACTTAGTACTAACTGGTCGACAAATCATGAGCAGAAATAATGTGCATTTGAACCAGAGCATCTACTTGCCCCGTCCAGATACTCTGAAGTTCTCATTTTCTTCCACGTGGAAATGACTTCATCAGACTGCAGGGGACAACAGTGAATAGTGCCCACAAATAATAAAAACAGTGCCCCACCACGGATGTGTAGCATGAGTAAAAGTAAACTTCCTTTTTCTTCTTAAAGCCACTAGAATTGGGGTGCATGATTGCAGCGTATCCTACCCTATCCTGACTGACACTGAAGTTGGAAGATAGAAGATGATGGAAGATGGAACGAGCATTTTTGAGCCACTCATGGAACTATGCCCAGGGTTCTCCCAACTCTGGTCTTCCCGTAATGTGAAATAATAAAATTTCCATTTGTGTAATCCTATTTGAATCCAGAGTTTCTCTTAGATGCAGCCAAAGGCATCCTAATGGATACATTATGTATTTTCTGTCTCCATTCTGGCTTGCTCTAGGGTTTCTACCTAGCTATGCAAATGGGTACTAATCTTACACTTCCATAGGATTTAGTTTTCTCTATAAAATGAAGGGCTAAGTGGAGGGAGTGTTTCTAACAAGTCATCTTCATTGTCTCTCCCCACTGTGGCTTCATGGCCCCGCGCGATCTGGTCCCTGCTATACTTCTGAGCTCATATCTAACGACTGTCTCCTCACTCACTCCCTCCACCCACACTGGTGTTTCTGATGTACCTCAAAGCCGTTGCATTTGAGGTCTGCCTGGAAACCC